GGCTCAGCTTGAGCATCAAGCGCTGAGGTAAGCGGCAGTGAGTTTCCATACTGACTATAATTTCAATCTCACAGGTAACCGTTCAAATGTATGTTGGAGAGGAACCTCAAAAGCAAGCTGGCTGTTGAAATTTGCTTCTGGTTTTACTTCGTAGATAAAGGCTAGTCATCACCGAGTTCATTTATTAGCAGCATGACTGGAATTCACTTTTATGATTCATTGCTTTCGACAGTTTCTAATAGCTGCTTGTGCATCAGTGTAATCCATTATTAAAATCAGAGTTATCGACTTAAAAGTCTGCTAATGGGAATCTCCATACATCAGCGGAAATTAGTTGCAATTGTTTTGACGTTTTCGCTAGACGGAGAGGAAAGTTTGTCACCGTTGGAATGTCGGCCTTCATCATGATTAGACCATTTTGGCGCTCTTGTTCTCATGAGGTTCATGGTTCGGTACTGATTTCTGTTTCTATGCCATCAGGCCGGAGTGCCATATTTTTTACGGCACAATCCACGGACGTGTGGTAGGCACAGCGTGTAGTCTGATGTTTCCTTCACACAGAGGGGTACTCATTTATCAATCTCAGAAGAAAGAAAGGCGAGTGACATTGACTGGGGCTTGAACTCAGGATCTATCAGTTCTGAGTTCGATGCTTTACCGAATGAACACTTTCGGTCTGAAGAAATGTTTTGTAAATGTTAAATTAGTTATTTCTGGATCATGTGGGCAACAGGTTCAGAGTTTTTCCCATGGTCTGAAACTTCTACTAGTCGGCATGGACCAAAGGTTGAATTCCACGGAGACAATACAGAATTTTTCTGTATAACTGAGTCATCCTATCCGCGATTTTGTCCCTCTACCATGTTCATTGTAGGTTTACCAAAACGGCCTACATCACAAGTCTCCTCTGATAAGTGAATTGCTGTCATCATCTTCGTAATCTCTTTTTTTAGGATAATGAACTTGGATCTAATGTCTGAATATGGGTGTGAAGCATGGAAAGTATACAACGAGACGCTACAAAACATGTCTAACGAATGCCAGAGACAGTTGACCAACCTACGCCGAGAAATTCAAGAAATAAACCTGGATCGCAAGCGAAAGCAGGTCGATGCCGGTGAAAAGTTGAAAAGTTTGGAAGCTAGGTAAATTAAAATTTTTACTTTCCTTTTTTAAGTCAACTGGTGAAACGAAAAAGTTTGCTAATTAATAGATACTAATTAATTTTAATTTGTTTTTCTCAATGAACTCCATTTGTTCGTTTTGGACTGATCGTTAACATGCGGGATGATGCTGTAAAACACTTTTAGCATGACCTTGCTAAGATGGCTGATGTAGTTTTGAACGGTGGGTATGTAACGTAGGATTTATATTTCACCAAATATTCAACCACTTGCATGAACTATGCTATGCATAAACTTTTGAATGTGATGC